CAGATTAGTCGGCTTCGCTGGTTAGGACACGTATTGCGCATGCCCAGCCATCGTCTGCAGCACCGCACCTTATTCGCAGTTGCAGCTCCAGGTGGGAAAAAGCCGCGTGGTGGTCAACGGATGACGTGGACGCGAGGCATGAAGAAATGCACAGAGCGATTAGGTAGAAACGGTGTCTCCCGTCTTCCAGGTTGGAGTCCGAAAGACTACAACTGGTTGGCTGGAGACATTAAAGGATATGTCGACTAACCGACAGCAGTGGTGTTCTTGTTCTCATTTCTTAACAAGTCAGAATGCTTGAAAAGGTATGCATGAACACTTAGATTGTGTAATTTGTGTGTTGGACATAAAGGTTCTTTTTCTTTGCCTCCCTCCAAGTAGGTCCAATCCCTCTCCATCTTATGTATATCACTTAATTTGTGTACATTGTGAGCTTGGCAGCGATCAGTGAAGCTCGCTTCACTGTATCTCGCTGCTGCTGCTGCTTCTGCTGCTGCTGATGATGATGATGATGACGATGATGATGATGATAAGTCGGTAAAAAATCCAACTGGCATGTGAGTTGGTCCCAGGACGGAACATGCCATCACCAGGACTTCAGGACCTTGAAATATTCCTTTTGGAAAAGAGAAGGCAACAGGGAGATGTGACAGAAACCTTTGAGATAATGAAAGGTTTATCTTTTTCTATTACACACTTTTTGTGGTGAACAACAGACGGGGAAAGTCACATAGTCACGAGGACCTGGTCTTAGACCAGAAACCTCGTTCCAGGAGGCGCTAGATTCCCGAACGAGGGGGCATGAAATGAGGCTGGTTAGTCAGTCAGTTCAAGTCAAAGTAAGCTTTGTGCACCGGAAAAACGAATTTTCAGCGATATCTCACGACAATACAGTGGAATTAGAGGGGGTCGCATCAGAGTGTGAATAGGTTGAACAAAAAACGACAGCAAACTGCAAGCAGGAAGACGATAGTGACAGAGGAAAATGAATAAATGAACTAATTCATGAGGTGTTCAACCAAATCTGTAATAATTGATGCCCGATTTACTAAACAGCCAGCTAAGTCCCCGTAGATTGATCGCCCGATCACTCCTTTTCAGCAACAGAGGATTCGACATATGCAACAGTCTATCCGTGGAGCTAATAGACCCGCAACCGTGTTTGCATTCAACACAGCTT